ATGGATTTCAAACAACATCAATGGAGAGCTCAAAATTGATGAGGAAGTTGGATGATATTCTTCTTTTCAGGGCTGCAAAGAAAGCTTGGCCGGCGGAGCTGCGGCCTCAAGAATCCTGCAACGAAGCTTGATTTGTGTCGTAAATCAGTGAAGAAGGTCTGTAGAGACATCACCTCCAGATGGTTCAATAAACCACGTTGAGATTGTGGGTGTAGCTTCAGAGCTGCGGAACTCGCTCACTTAGCAATAGCGCACAGCATGATTCAATCGAGTGCCAGGGCAAAACAAAGGAAAAGGACCATAACGAGGTGAAGACTAAGTAGCAAGATCCATGGCAAAAAACTGTTGAGAACCCCGAGGGTTTCTCGAGCGAAGCTACATACGTTTGAATGTCAGAAAGAAAACGAATCAAAAAATCATAATATAAAGCAACGGTTTGAGTTTTGGTAATTTTCGGTGGGCGAAGGGGGGGAGAACAAAGGAAGACAAATAATCAACGAAATACAATCACGACGATCCCGTATACATAATTTGTGAACCTCCTTTTGACAGACAGCAAGACAATGTTAGAATTGATGAGATATCTTATTTAGACCTTTCTTTGACCTTATAAAATGATTTAATGAACATCCCTGGAGATAATATCAAGATACCGAAGCATATAAAGCAAAGCATGTGAATGAATACTGCTTACGCAGAATGCAAAAGAATGTTTTGCCCAATCATCAGTCAAAAATCAAAAACATCGACGAAAAGAGATATGACAAGGCTCACAACTCATAATCAAAAACGACCAAACACATGCAGGACGAGCGTCTTTGCCAAATAGCCTGACTCGAATAAAGTGACGGTCGTCTGGTAAAGAAACACCAAGAAACGTTCAAGAATCAGAAAACATGAATAAGTAATAATTTGTTAAGCAAACGAAATGTAACTATTATCGTCTGTTAATTCCGGTAATCGCCCTGAAGAAGAGAAGAGTAAAAGCCCCAAGGTCAAGGATTAGACAAGACGTTTAAAGAAAGAAAATACTTGAGGAATCTTGATATTCACCTAGTCGGACCGTGGCAAAGTCAGTGCCGTTGGTCTGATACATGGTATATTGATTATCCATGACAAAGACCGGGGATTGATTATGAAAGAAGGAGATGTTTGAGTGGAGATATGGTAAATGGGTATAGATGAGGTATAAAACGTCAAGATGTTATTTGAGTTAGAAGAAAGAGCTCAAGATGGTGGTATAGTTATGAGTATGTTTGACCGTTCAAGAATTAGATGTTTTAGGAGACAGAATTGAAATGGATGAGGAACGGGAACGAAGACAGATGCGGCGGTATTTATATTGGGCCAGTAGGGGGAAGATAAATATCGCAGCCCTCAGGAAACACTAAGGTCGTAGGACTGATACCCTGTGCGACCTGGCGCGAGTTCATGAGTATGATGACGTTTGATAAGATAAGCATTTTGAATGTGAATAGGCGTGAATATTCACCAGAGTAACTCGATGGCAGTGAAGTACCATGTTGATGATCTATGGTCTGGACTCGGCAAGATAATGTTCGTCATTCTCCGGCTCCGGTTGCAAACTTGAGCATAGTGAAAAGAATTTTTTGCTCGTGGTGACTTGAGCTTGACCTTTCAAAACTAATCAAACATCTTGAACATTTATAACTCATCTATACCTTTTTGCCATTTATCCACTCAAAAATCTCCTTCTTTCATAATCAATCCCTGGTCTTTGTCATGGATAATCAATCTACCATGTATCAGACCAACGGCACTGACTTTGCCATGGTCCAACTTGATGAATATCACGATTGCCTATAAATTTTCCTTATGAGATTCTTCGTGAAAAAGCAAATATCCATCAACTCTCCGATAATTTGCTGTACTCCCGTCCTCAACGCTTTGACCGAGTCACCTGATCAGAATAGATTTCAAGTATCATTATGTTGACCTTGTAATAAAAGAAGAACTTTCTACATTACTACGTGTTATAATTCGCCCAGAATAGCTTTGATGACGTTCATGATCGATGGTCTTAGCCTACCCGGATCGTCGTCATTCTCGGGCTCTATCTGTCAGTTCGAGTACAGTAAATCCATAGAGAGCTATCGTAAGTAACTGAGGATAAGCAAGCACGCCTAGAATCAGAAATTAGTTACATGATTCCCTCTGATGTACGAAGATTTGAGAATTTGAGTGAAGACTCTTGATTTCCGCTCCGCCATCGATGCCAGAGTGGACGAGCTGGACGAGCTGGCCGTCATTAGATCTCTTCAACACTTACTGGCATGGCTCTCTTGAATCCTTAAAAGCGTAGAGGAACAAATGAAACGCTAGCTGTTTTTCGATCAAGTCTCCTTCTCTATCATTAATAAACGTTTTTCCATCGCCCGCCCATGCGTTGATGTCCAATTAGCTACATAGGACCAAAAACCAGCCGATTGCAGTCGAATACGTATAGGACTCGCAAGCTAAAGCTGTTGAGCCTCAGAATCTGGAGACGTTAACGAGTAAACCAGCGTTGGAACTTCTTTCCCATCTTGGATGAAACAAACTGTTAAGAGCGAACCTCGAATAGTCTTCGAAATTGAACCCAGGCAAGGTATTATCATACTTGAAGTGATCGCTTGTTGAGCCAAGATACACCAGGTGAAATATGATGGAAATATCCTCGTAACTATCGATGGTTTGTCGCAAGACACAACAGATTGCATCATCGCTTGTTGTCTGGCAATCGTGCCCGATGTGATTGAAAGTGATATGAAGCACATAGACTACACTTCACCCCACCTGTGCTTCGCCCGTGGTCATCAAAAGAAAGCTGGTTCTGTTACTTCACATGATTCAACTTGCCACACCCTATACTGTAAGAAGCTTACACGTGCTAAGTTGCAGCAGTCCTCCGAGACCAGATTGAGTGAATGACAGACTAAAAGACTATGATATCTTCCAATATGTCCATTGGGAAATCACATGATTGAAGCCAAAGAACTCATATCAAGGTGCTCGGTTTGTCACTGCGACTTCGCGGTGATTGACATGACAGTGATCAAAGAAGGCAATATATCATGATGTTATTCTAGACCAGATCACGTCCATGAATTGGACATTTTCGAATTCCTAGGCGTCAGATTCAATACGGAAGCCTTTCGGACATCATAGATAGATTCTGCGAATGATATATTGTAAGGAATGTCTCAAGCAATACGCATGTTAGAGGAGTCGAAAAGATTTAGGCAATTGCAAACTCCAGACTTGGGTAACCTGCCTTTTGATCATGAAGCAGATGTAGGAGGGCCGTCTATGATTCGAAATTAAATTGAGGAAAAGCCGGATGAGACCCATATCAAAGTCGCAAACTCCCACAACGTCTCATTTGCGATGGACTGGGCATCATTCCCACCAAAAAGCCTTGAACGGACAAGTTTAGAAATATGAGCGATGAACGGGAGTCTTTGAGAGACGTGGGTTGTGACTAAAGTCGACTTGAAGAGATAAGTCGCCACAGAGTTATAAAAAAGAGATAGATACTAACAGCCGTATAGAATAAGAGTTTGTTTTATCTGAATCGGGAATGACGAGAAAAATGACAGAAGATGACGAGTACGGCCACAAAAGATGTGATATGGTTCCAGCTCCTTGAGAGCAAATTTCAGAGCTGCCATCTCCAAAGGGGGCGGAGGTATGACTCGTCCCAAGGGTGAGGGTAACTGGTTGATAGGGCGTTAATCAGGGAGATGAGGATTTGTAACTATTTTTGGACTGATGGGTTAAGGTTCAGAAAGATAACTAAAGCAAACGAGAAAAGAGATGGAGGAGGACAGATACTTTTCAGAGTTAATGTGAATATGGAGCAAGATATCGAATGGGGGATGTCGATTTTTCCGGGACTACTTGCTCTTTTTATACCTTTGATAAAAAGTCGCTTTCGTCAGTGAAATCTAAGACTCTTAAGTAGGGTTAGAATCTCCCATCATCATAGACCACATGACCCTAATTCTTGAATAAGCCTTGCAAATTGTATACACCAACTGGGACTTGAGAGCTTACATAGCTGATGAATTTGGCGAGCCATACTTCTTAAAAGCTAAGTCAAAGCATGCCCAGTATCATCTAAGCCTTGATCTCATCATCATTGGTAGACCATACACCGGAAATACAAATAAACTCCTTTTCAGAAAAGCAAGCCAGCATGATCCCTTCGCCATTGCGAGTCCAGCAGCTCAATTCACCTGGGCGTAATTTTAATTGAACGATGTTCAAGATGAGACTGATCACAGACACCAAGTTTATGATGCCCCATATCCCTTGAATGTATGTGTTCAACAAAAGGGATTGCTGAGTCTTTTGAACACCTGTTCAATTAACTTGCTTAGAGAAGCATATTGACCTTTGCTTAATCCTTTCTCTCTTGGCGGTCATTTTCCAAATTATGTCCTTCTTGGATAGGGGGTCTCCGCTTGCATTAGACTATAGGATCATTAACCAAATCTGCTCATCTTTTTGATTCAGTCGCATTGTTTTCTCTAGCTTAGTGAATATTCATAGGCTCAATAATAGAGAGCTCTCAAATATACACCTGTCGAATGAATCATGATTCAGGAAAGTCTCATGACCTGAGGGCCAATCCATTGCACCGGTTTTACTTTGATGTCGATAGGACGATTCACAGTGGAGCATATCACCATTGGATAGCGCTCAGGAAGTCAGTGCTGATAAGAATCGTACAGATAGATGAATGGGCCAAGTGAGAATGAGCATGTGTTATCGTAGAAATCTCAAGAACAACTGGTGCATTGCGATCCTCATCTGAACTTTTCTATCTCGATGAAGTTGTATCAAGAAAGGCCGAAGAATTCTAAGCATGATAACAGATTCACGTCTATCGCCATCCATATCAGATCTCCTTTATCTGACCATCGGAATTTTGAATTGAGAGGAGATATCATACCGTATAAGAAGTGGATCAAGAAAGAGATACCGGAAGGGACCGATTACGAATCGTAATCCTAAAACAGGAAAAAAAGATGGGCAAAAACACTGAGAGGATACGGATAATGGAGAGATATTGTCAGAATCACGAAACTCACCTTGATTTCGGGACCATCGAGTCTTTCAGACAAAGACTGTCCAGGCTCATCGTCATTTCTTGCTCGGGTTGATCTTTGAGATTCCTCGCTTTCTCTCTTTCTTTTCAAATCCCCTAGTCCTTCACCTTGGGACGATTGAGTGATATTTCGTAGCCATAAATTGATTTGAGCAGATGGGACTTCTTCTTCTGATGATGTGGGTAGTGTAGACACCGACCAGGATCTTGGTGGGTGGGTTATGATGGTAGGAGAGGCCGGTGATTTAGGAGCTTTGTTCATGGTGGGTGAGTGAGGAGCAGCTTCAGCTGCCTTGACAGTGGGGTCATCGAGATTGATGATAGTGGAAGGTGCGGGAGATGACGAGGACTCCAAGACTTGAGAGAGATCCGGTTTGAAGGACCTTAGATTGGTCCTCGTGACTACTTCCGGACTACGTTTGCTACCCTCGAGTGACATCTTAACTAGATAGTTATGATAATGATCTAACGATGATGACTCTATTGTATGATGTAAATGATGTGTCTGTCCTTGAGATGAAGAGTGAGCTGAATGGGGTTAGTGGAGAAGTCCTCTCAGTGAGACTATAGAGGTGACGGATTTATATAGTCCAATCAGAAGGTTGAATCCCCAGCATCTAGAAAATGCGGAACGCGGAACTTCCTAGCGACCTTCAAAAATCTTGTCAAGATTAAGAATAAACTCATTCTGCCATTTCAATACAAAAGGCTTCCTCTTTAGAGCCGTCAGACTGTAAGAAATACCGGATAGCAACTAAGGCTCGGTATCTTCAAAGTGCTGGAGGGCATATCCAGAGATGTTGCACTGCAAGCAACAGGAGTCGAATGGCACCATTCTGGCATTTCGAAATAAGGTGGTATGTTTGTCTATCGCCCCTTCATGGCATATCAGATGATAACTAGTCACAAAACTTCGTAAACCTGTCTACCTCTTCAAGTTCAATCGTATTTCTGATTTGCTTATTTCATAAGGCCAGAAATCACCTCAATCAAAGCAGTCTCACACTGCACAAATCACGATATGAGTCTTATCAACGATCTCTTGCAAAGATATCTGAGTAGATTTTGCTGAGTACCTTTTTTGATTCAATTCTCTTCCTCTTGGAACATGATGAATTGCTCTGATAGTCTATCTTTTTTCTCAAGTCAAATGACTATTTGTCATGAGGAAGATTCAATGGAGTTAAACACGCAGCTAATGGTTCTGAAGTGTATCTCACCCGGTTAAACCCATAATCAAATCTCCCTCTATGCTTCAAAATAACTCACTGCGTGAGTGAAAACCATTCTAACTCAACAAAGTCCTCTCAATTTTAAACATGCATAAAACACAAGATCTAATGGATATTTCATAGTGTATATGAGCACCCAAAAGCACTCAACTATGTCTCAGAACCCTGGAATGTTGGAAAGGTAACTATGAAGTAGTGAGGATGATGTATGTGTGCCATGGATTATTGGTGCAAAATTTGGCTCATGCGCTGTCTCTAGATAACAGTTGTTATAAGTGAGATTAAAACTTGGAAAGATTGCCTAAAACCAGCTCATATCTCATGTAGACATTGAGAGAAATTGTAGGGCACATCATAAGTGGTCAACTGCTGTGGTATCAAGTTGAGTTCAACCCAAGGAAATGATGGGAAATCCATGAACCAAAGGAGCTGATTGATATAAGATGAGCTTGGTGTCATACAGATATGATGATACATTAGCTCTGAAATCTATTTCTAATCTGAAATGATCATCATCCTTGAAAGCAAAAGACTTGGGAGAGGGATAGGTCAGGTTAGTCTGAAATTCAAGACAGAAACAACCAAAAGTTGGAAAGTCCAAACTTATAAAAACATAGATTCAAGGTTTCTGACTTTCTTGTCTTGTCTAATTATATACAGGCGCCAGAGATGGAACCCAACCATTCCCTTGAACACCATCAAGTTTTCAAGTTCTTACCTTGAAGTTGTATTCCATTCTCTAAGTTTCTTACTTTTTGGTAAGCAGGGAGGGTTATGTATATATTGTTAACTTATCCTGTTAATATATATCATACCCTATGTCCAAATATAGTATTTTATTTCCATTAATTAAAAGGTTCTACATTTTGGGCCTATGATCATGGCTGAGGTCAAAGTTTGTTTGGGGGAGCCAGGGCAGGGGATTGGCTAGCTTTTGCGTCACGGTGTGATACCACTGATGTCAACTATGTCAACACCGGTCTTTGGCTCAGCTGAGTTGATGGGAGGAATTTGAGAACAAAATCCATTAAAGTTTTGATAGAGCGGTGACACTGCAGGAATGAAATAGTTTGAAACCAAGTTGAGTAAAATTGTGGTGTCCAAGTCTGCAACTTCCTTCAATCATGGATCTTGTTCACAATAGGTTCACATGTTCCCCTTGAGCTATACCATACACAATATACCATGTAGAGCAACAGCTCACTGGCTTGAATTGCTTTGATGCAATCATTCTGGCAGCTCAACCAGTGATCCTGGATCCTGGAGCCTGGAGCCAAAGATATGAATAAGAAGAAAGATAGAAGATACTTTGAAAGGGACTATTGGGTATGTGTATATGCTTTATAAATCTAATATATAAATACAAAGAACAGACTCGCATATGTGAGTACCGTCCAGTCCTGTTGCGCTTTGGTCAATTTTGTATCATGATCAGTGAACTTTTGATACTTTTTCAAGTTCAATCCATTATTGTATTCTCTACGCAATCACAGACTGCTTTGTTAGTGCGCAACTGTGCCTTTCTCTCACCTTGTGGAAAGAACCTGAAAGAACCCATTTGAGTTTTCCGGATTGGCTTTTGACCCCTTACATTAGATTCTCACTTTTCTATTCTGATTGTTCTCAATCTTCTGTTTTTGTTTGCATGTGATCGTAAAATTACAATTCTTTTGTTTTGATTGTACAATTACAATTCTTTTCTTTGTGTTACCTGTGACACATTTGTTTGTGTGACCTGCAACGCTTTTATTTGGGTGAACTGCATTTCTCAAAAGTGAGCTTTTCAAAACCCGACTCCAAATGTTGTATTTCTGCCTTGGTATACATTAATTTTTACTCTATAAAAAGGTAACCTGTCCCACCTGGTTCAACAACTCCCCCACCGGCAAACCAACTGTATTTCTCAATCTTTCACCCAATTTATCAAATCATATATGAGAATTTCCTATTGAATCTTTTTCTGGGCATTTCTTTAGCAACTACATTGCCTTCTGTCTGCTGTTGGGCCTACTTGTACCCATCTTTGTTTGCTTTCATCTCACACTAAGCCTACAACCTTTCACTTTCACATATCTCATTTTCTTTCCTGTTCTTGAGTTGCTTTTAATTTACATCCTGTGTAATATCTTGGTGGATTGACCTCAACTGTATACCCAATTTCAGATTGCCTCTTTGTAAGGTATATAGCATATCATCCACTCTTGCTTTGACTATTGAATTCATGGCAGTGTTGCTGTTTCTAATTGGCATTCATTGTCACCTAATAAATCCCTTTAGCGCCCAACATAAATCAGCAGTGTTTGGGAATACAGGCACTATATGGAATGTGTCCTTTTACAAGTTGATCTCCAATTATTATATTGTAGTTTTCACAACCACATTACACATGCTAACAATAACAAAGTATCCAGGTTTTAATTTAACTGCTTTAGTTTGATAATCTGGATATTTCTGGGTGAGTATAAACAGTCAACCTGTGGCGGGCATGCCCGCGTGTTCTCTAGTACAGCAAATAGACAGGGAAACTCAAGGGTAACCTGTGAACCCATTGAATGTATTGTGAACAAACTCCACAATTGAAGGAAGTTGTAGACTCAGACACCAAACCTTTTTTCAATGAGGTTTGGAACTACTCCATTCACACAGTGTGAGTGGTGATGGATTGAGCATTTGAGTCATCAAATTTTATTATTCCAAAGGTGTAAAAAAACTGTGACTATGAGTTATGGGTTTACACCATTCATGCCAAAACCCAATGAAATTATCCCCTAAGTTTTTCCTTGGTTAAGACTGGCAATAGATTTTTTCATTACGCCACCTGATAGTCCAGTTGAAAGTTAAATTTCATGCAAAATACTATAAAAATGCTCAATGACATTGGATGGCCCACCCCATAACACAAAGAGAATCTTTTCTTGATGGATCAGATGGAAGAGATTAGAGTACAAGAGACTGTAATTAAGCCTTATGCCCAACAAATCTCACAAGTCATAGTTCAAAATGTAATGAACTCTATTCTTGTAAAGATCAGACCAACAGTAACAAAAGCAATACTGCTCCAAGTAAAAGAAGTACAGCTGATTTGAGAATGAATGATCCTTTTTGAAATGTGCATCATGGTGCAAAACCTGGTTTTCGAATTGGGATCAGAATGGTGTCTTAGGGCGCGTTCACTTAGTGGGGAATTTGAGAAATCACATTATGAGCAACCACTTTTCTACATGTAGAAAAGCGTTTTTTTTAAAAAAAAAACATGAAATTTGAAATTTTGTGAAATTTTGTGAAAAAAGCGCTCTTGAGTCGTTTGATTTGGATGCACTGATCACTTTTCATTCTCAAAGTGAAAGCGTTATGAGCTTGAGATTCCACCCTATTCCAAATCCATGGAACATCATCACCAAAACCCGATTGATCCCTTTACAGTTACCTAACCCAACACAACCACAAAAACTTACAACCAATGTTACAAATCAAAACCTTCATTTTGACCGACTTTGCAAAGGATTGAGATTAGAAGATGGATTTCCAAATCCATTATTGATTCATCAAGAATGATTAGATTCAAGTTCTTTCATTTGATCAAATCACCATCTCAAGTACAACAATTATATTGCATTTCTTGTAACATCTAATCCACATGATGAGAGTCGGAATGATCAACACAAGTTGAGTTGAGAATGACATCAATCAAGGATGGTGATGGACGATTGATTTTGAGAATAGTGGTGGATGATTGGTTTCGAGACGACTTGTGCAATGACTGGGGACTTGCAACAGATTTGAGGGGTTCCGTACGGTAGAAGGTACCTTGTACAATCTGAGAAAAAGTTTACGAAGCAGTCAACTGGCACAGGTTGAGGGAAGAAGAATGTGATTTTTGTAGACAAGAATGTGCTAATAGCAAATTCTTAGAATGTCCCAATAAATCACTTTTTATAAGCATTCTGTGATTTCTAGAATGCTTGTAAATAAGAAATCAAACACATTTCACAGAATGTGATTTCTCAAGATTCAAGAATGCAAATTTTCACAAAAAAGTGCTTAAGTGAACGTGGCCTTAGTGTATGATGAAGCAAGGAATGCTGAGCAGCTGCTGATACCACAGCAGCTTGGTTGGCTCGAGCTTCCTGGACTGTCCCCATTGCTCCTTTGTGTTGCAAGCAACGGCACCGCAACCACAATGCAACGGTCCAAATTTCTGGCCCGAGGGGGAAACTCATTGCGCAATGGCCAACCCGTTGCGGTGCTCAGCGTTGCTTGCGTGTTCCTGTTGCAGTGTGTTGCTTGACGTTGCACACTTGAGGCAACGCACCCACCCAACATTGCTTTCTACAATGGACGAGAGAGGAGGGTGGAGGACAAACCTCAAAACACAAAACACAAACCTGTATCGTCCTGTACAGATACTCGATTTCCGAGTAGCTCTGATCAAACCTCACCAGAACGTCCTAGAAAAAATCCAGACAATGCCTGAGATGATACCAGTTAACTCCCAATTGAAAATGCTGTCGAATCATCACTTCGAATTGAAAAGTAAGTTTTTAGATCATTTAAAACCAGTTAAAATCACAATGATAAGTACTAAATATGCTTTCTTTTGGCCTTTTTATCAAACAAAAAGAGTTGCTTTGAAATATTAGATTCTTTCAATTTTCATCACAGACAAATCTCAATCAATTTTAGTCTCACCTTTCCAAAATCAAAGGCACTCAGATTCTGACTGACTTGGTGAACAACACAATTCACTCAACGGACAAATAATTATCCGCGCTCAATGTTCATACAATGACAAGCAATACCATTCCCTTCAGGTTTAACTTTTTTAGATAAAGACTCTGGTACAAAGAAGGCTTGATTCCCATTGTGTAACGACTTCAGCATGTGATAAATGTTCAGTTTCTTTCTTGTGCAATGATACTGAATAGGAAAGTCTCAAGGTTTGAATTCAATACAAGAGTTGAAAATTAAAGATTGATGTCTAAACAAAGATCAGAAAAAGACCCAACAGCAGAAATCCAACCCAAGAGACTATTTGCATTTGAAGTAGTGAATTGAAATTGAAAGCTTGTGGAATGATGCATACAAAAAAGAGGGTCTGTGTATCCAAATGTACTAATTTTATGCCTTACTCTCCTGATATGGTCAAAAGACAAAACTTTTAATGTTTTTGATTATCAACTCCAATCGATTAAACTTGTACTTGATTCCTGGATGTTTGTTGGTTTTTTGAAGAATTTGTTGAGTGAGATGCGGTTTGGAATTTCCAATGTACAATTTATCTATATCAAAATGCTGTTTGTACAATAGGAAGGATAGTTATTGCAACTTATCATCGTGATCTGGATTGTTTCTAGGACGGTCCTGGTGAGGTTTGATCAGAGCTACTCGAAAATTGAGTATCTGTACAGGACAATACAGGTTTGTGTTTTGGGTTTTGAGGTTTGTCCTCCACCCTCCTCTCTCGTCCATCGTAGCTTTCAGTCATATGTAAAACCAACTCAAAATCTTTTTTCAACCAATCCAAAACCTTCTTTCCAACCAATCCAAACCCTTTCAACCAAAAAAAAACTTGACCAAAAGGACCCCTGACAAAGTAACTCATCATCATCAAAGTACATATTCAAAAAAAACCTTACCAAATCCCTCATCAAGTGCACTGCCACTGCCACTGCCACAGTCACCAGTTTCAAACTATACTTCAAAGAAAAGTTTAAACCCATCATAAAATATACATAAACCTTAACCAAAAAGTATATATGCCCATCAAGTTTGATTAAAAGATCTTCTTCATTTATCTATTACATTAGGGGGTTTGAAGTTGGAACAAATATTTTGACATAGGGGATTCAGGGCTGGCACAATCGGGTATTGATGAAGAATGGAAACTTGAGATATAAAAAACCTTTACAAAAGAGGTGCACAAAGGATCAATTTGGTAAGAGCTAATGGTAAACAGGAGCAATGATGAAATGATGTGCAGATGTTATCTAGTTATACGTTCAAGTGCTTGTCTTGTTTGTACTTAGAAATTATCATTTCTGAATTTGTTCATCCAGATCAATCATCAACAAATTATTAGCTACCTATATTTCAAAAGTTGTTCTTATTCAATGCAGATTTTTATTCACCCACCATCCCTCCCTATAAGACTTATTTGTATCAACCAGTTATTTTTCAGACATATTCTATTTAGTTCCACCCCACAGGGTCTCGCGGATTATTTGTCATCATTTATTCTCGCAACATCCAGTTCGCAAAAAATCAGACTCCAGAAGTTGCAGTGCGTAATTTTTATAATAAACAAGTTATTCTTGAAAATCCAAAACCAAAAAACATGCCAAACCCAATTCCTTCAAGTTAAAAAAATGCCTCAAATTCAAATGTCCCTACATAAAAACATAGCTTATAATTTTCAAATGTTTAAAAAACTTCTAGAAAGCCGTTCCCAAGAAGCACATTCTAGTGTTTATTCTATAAAAAATCGATGAAAATTCAAGGGTTGGGAGGCAAAAGTACAGTCCCCTCCAAGTGGTTTACGTAATCATTCAAGTTCTGCAGCGGCGGGGCCGGGGCCTGTTGCGAACCCGATGATTACGAATCATAGGCGTGGGGACGTGTACAAACATTTCAGGCACTTTTTGGCCAACTTGAAGCCCCCTATTGTACAAGTACATACATGCATGGTATGTCCACCTAGAGGTCCAAACTGGTCAAACTGGCTTACATTTTGGTTGTAATTAGTATATGCAATAGCAATAGTGGGGTTCAAGTCAAAAATTCCAAGTAGGAATTTTACAGCATCCGAGAGAGTTTTTTAAGACAAATTTTACCTAAAACCAACTTGGATGTCGTAAGAATGGTTTAAAAATAGGCCACCGTGTCTTATAACGAGAAGAAGAAAAGCTTTGAGACAAAGGTACAAGTGCTGGAAAAAAGTGCATTTTATCTGCTGTTATGGACTCAACAAGAGAGAAGGACGAAAAAACGACCGTTAGGGAAGAAAAAAACTACTCATACGCCTTTTCTTGAAACAAAAAAGGACGGTATTTTTTTCTTGATCCAAAAAACAAACCAATTGTCTTAAAATTATAGGCATTTAGGGGATACAAAGTTAAAACTGGGAGTTTTTTCCCAGTTTTTGTTTTTGGCTGTGTTTAGAACTTTCCCACGTTCTCCCAGTTTCCCAGTTTGCGTTTTGGGCGGTATTTGGGAAACTGGGAAAAAACTCCCAGTTTTAATTTTGTATCCCCTAATTGTTGTATAATTTTAGACCTTGCGAGTAGCTCTAAAGCTACTCGCAAGTCATAAAATGTGAGTTATAATTTTACAACCTTTGAGCGACGTCTAAAAGCCATTTTAGGTCCAAATTATTTTGACTTGAACACCGCTAATAGCAATAGGGGGTGTCAAGTTCAATTTTTTTACGGCAAAAACCATAAAAAACTTTCCCGTCGTAGCATAAATTTATGTAAATTTTACAAAAACGGGAAATTTTATGAATCCTGTTCTTGTAAAAATGTAAACAGGTAAGTTTACAACCCAAATTTAAAGACCTCACCTGGGCTTTTTCACTCTTGAAAAAAGGTGGATTAGAGAGTGAATCCAAGGACAACCTTGCATCCTCTTACCAACAGTTTTCTCCTTGCTAAGCAGATCATCAAGGCAAAAAAGCCAAAAAGTCTTGATCATGGTTCACAAGTGATCATAAAAACTTGGCAAAGTTTTTTTACAGTTATAACGTAAAAACTTTCCCATGTTTATTTTTTTTTACGGTTTTCACCGTAAAAAACTTCTCCTGCTGTAGCATAAATTTAAGCAAATAAGGGGACTCAAGTCAAAATAGGGGGTTTCAAGTCAGAAATTTTTTGTGAAACTTTTTAAAAAACGGACAAGTTTTTTAAATTTTACGGTGGGTTTTTTTTCTGCAAATATACGGTCAACACCATTCGGGACACCTTTTTAGGTGTCCCGATTTTTTTAAATTTACGGTATATTTTGCAACATTGGACAACTTGTTGGACTGTAAAACACCGTAAATTTATTGACTTGAAACCCCCTAATGTTTTGGTTCCGAGGAGGTCATATCTTTTATGTGTCTGCTTGTTTTTACAGACTCAAACACTTAAATCATCAAATCAACAAAATCTCATCCAATCAAACCCCACATCTATCATCTCCTTTCCTCTACTTTACTTCTTCCAATATTCACAAATTTCTTTTGACCAAAATATAATACCCAAAAAGAAAAAGAAAGAAGCTAAAAAAAACTTATAAATAAATTTCATCAACTTCTTAACTAACTTCTTAACTAACTTCTTAAACTTCAAGTTACAAAAAAAACTTCCAAAACATATATAAAAAAACAAGAAACAAAACAAAACAAAACAAAACAAGAGATTTTTTTAAAAAATAAAGATTTGGTAAAGAGAAAAAAAACTTAAAGCTTTGATACACACACTCAGGAGAGAGAGAGAGAACTCGAGATATAGAGAGATAGAGAGAAATAGAGAGGTAGAGAAAGAGGTAGAGAGAGAAATAGAGAGAAATAGAGAAAGAGAGAGAAATAGAGAGATAAAGAAATAGAGAGATAGAGAAAGAGATAGATAGAGAAAAAACACAAGATCTGATTTTTTTGTTAATAAAAGAAAAGTTGAAATATATATATAGAAAAGACTTTAAACAAAGAAAAAAAATCAAAGAAAAAAATCAAAGAAACTCCATCAAAGAAAAAAAAAACTTTCACACACTGAGATACTGTATATATATATAGATTTATAAACAAATTGTAATATCAAGTTTAAACCAATGAAATGAAAACCTTTAATCTTACAAAAACGAAAAATAAAACTTGATGAATCAAAAAACCCTTTGACTTTCTTTTCTTTAGTTATAAATATATATATCTTGTGTGTGTTATATATATCTGTATTCCCAAATTTCCATCTGTTTTCTGTTCAAAAAGATCACTCTAATCATTCCAATCCTACTTCCTGACTTCCCTCCCGGAATAAAAAACGAAATAAATAAAGACATCCGAAAATCCAAACCCAACCAAATCACCCCTCTCGCTTACTAAACCATGAAAGATCAACCCGATCCAAACAACCAATCCTTATCATCAAACCTTTCCAACTCATAACCCGTTCCAGATCCTTTCAACCATTCATCCAATCCAGCCCTAGCAAAGGCGACAAAATCAGCCATCCCACCTCTCTCAAACCTATCAATCGGCCAACAAAACCTCCAAGGTTCATCCATACTCATCAATTCAGGACTGAGACCCATCATCCTAGGTTTCATTTGTTTGATCAATGAACTCAAGATCGGTAACTTTCGATTCTTATCATCTATAATCATTTCTCCCTCTGGTTTTTCATTCGGTTCACTACTCGATTCTAATAGTTTGGCAAAGATCGTGTATGAACTTTCCCATGCTATTTTACCAGATTCTTGTTTTGATAATAAGTTTTTGAATTTCTTATAGGCTTCTGATTGTTGTTCTGGTTCAGATAAGTGTCCATAAGTTTGTAAAAGTAAAGATCTTTCGGTTTCAGTTAATCTATGAAATAATAGTCCTTCATACATAAGACTAGAAGAAAAAACAAAATCAGAAAAACCAAAGAAGATTGAATAGGATCTAAACGAATTATCAAAACATACCAAATTCCATAAGCCAATTCGATCCCAGATCGTTTAGCAAACGATTTGACCGCATTAAAGAACCCAAGCATCGATTCCCATTGTCTCAAGAACTCATGTTTACGTTGAGTGGAAGAGATATTAGATTGAGCTGTATCCACCTCTTGACAGAGAAAAGATTGAGTGAAGAGTAAGAGTGAATCGACCATCTCAATGGTAGCCACTTGATTAGCTTTCTCTAATCCTTCCAAAACCTTTTGTCGTTCTGAAACCGGCGTTCGTTCATTGGTCTCATGTGTATGTTTTTGTTGTCGTTCGGCGGTTCGTTTCAATTCTCTTGCTCGATCAGAATATCTAAAAGAAAAAAAAACATTCAGGGGTCAGTGGTAAGTGGATCGGTTCAGATGATAGTTAAGATGATTAGATAGATTACGTACTTGAACCTTAGTTCGGCCATATGTCTTTGAGAATAAGTGTGTGGTTTCCAATCTGACCAATCAATCACAATCTCAGGTGCTTTTCCTTTTCCTTTTCCATTAACGAGGACCGTAGTTTCTTGAGCTTTAGAATCACCATCAGGTTTGCCAACCTGTGAGTTTTCAATCGGTTTAGGTTCTACAACGTTAGGTTTTCCTTTACCGGATCCACTCTGTTCCATCGGAGGAGATCGGTCAGGTTGAGCTTGATAAGGATCGATGGAAGATGATGTAGAAGCTCTAGGAGGTAGCAGGGTTTCAGTTGCAAGTTTTCGTCGAGGGCTCTCAGTATGATGATGAGATCTAAACAAAGTAATCAAAACAAAAAAGTAAGATTCAAGAGTCTATGTATGGAAAGCGAAAGAAGTTTAAAACAAAAAGAAAATCGTTACAGTTTAAGTTGTTCATCAACTGATCGTTCATCAGCTCCATTCGATTCATCAGAAGCTTCTACCGTACTAGGAAGACTTCGAAGCTGTCCAGATCGTTTAAGATGACTGTAATCCCTAAACCAACGTAATTCAGGTGAGATTTCTTCTTTAAGTTTGGTAGGTGGACTCCAAGCTGGAAGATTTAAAGGTAAACTAAAATCTTTTTTAACTAGATGAGATCGAAGAAGCTATTACCAAAAAATCAAACCATCCAAAAGAAATCATCAGTAAATGGTTTGGATCTTCATTCAGTTTTTTTTTTGGGTTCAAGAATTGATGATTTACCTCTTTTGTTTCTCTTTCTTCTTGAGCAGTTAGACTGATGAATAATAATGTATTCGAAAATATAGATGTTGGAATGAAAACAAAAGAAAGATGATAAGAATAGATCAGTTACTCATGATGAAATCCAAAAAGTCAAAAAAAAACCCATCAAGTGAGGTATAAGATTTTCAGTATACCACACTGACTACTACCACTCGATTTACAATTTACACAAGTGAAAAAGTGAATTGTGTAATAAGAATAATGAGATAAGTTGAATGATTGACTGACCGTATTGAAGTTCGAACTGGTCTACGTTTCCATTTTCCAAGAAATGAAGGAGATTTGATGTTAGGAATCAGATTAGCTGATGATTTACTTGAACGTTTTTTATGAGGATTTGAATCGATTCGACTTGAGTAAGAAGTAGTAGTGGTTGACATGATGAATGGTTTGTGGTTGTAGTTGATAGTTGATGATGATAGTTGATGTTTGAATGAGGTTGAGGTTGAAGTTGAAGTTGAATTTACAAAGTAAACTGGTAATGGTAAAGGGTAAACGGTCAAGTGAGTGAGAGTAAGAGTACCTTCTACTTTTCATCAAGCCCACTCTAGTCTCAATCAATTCAATTCAATCTCTCAAACTCAATTCAATTCACTAAAAATCCAAAACACTCAATTCTCAACCTGAATCTGATCATCAGTAAAAATTCAATGCCAAGTTCCTTACAAAAATTGTCCTGTCTATTAACAGAAATAATAATGCCTAAATCAATACATCTGCATATCCCACTCCAGAACCGCTTTTAGTACAACCAATCACCATCAAAAACTGCCCAAATCGTATGTTATATATGATTCCTACTATATCCATCACTTTCACTTCTACTTCTCGGCTCTTTGAACTCCTAAGAAAAATCTATATTCATACAACAATATGCCAGTACTACATGCAAGAAATTCTTTATCAAGCTAGTTAGCTACAAAAGAAATGCGATCGGATGTTACATACTCCTGAACCTATATATATTTAAAAAAAGAAAAAACTGATTTCCTTTCGTGTTTGTGTGTGTTTTGAAAAGCTATTTAAACAAGTTTCATCAAAAAAACAAGAAAAAAATGAGTTCAAACCGGTTTTTAAGTATTTAAATTCAATACACGTCTGATGCTGAGGTCAAAGAAAGAAAAAAATGCCAAAAAAAACCCATGAGATATATTCGTACATGTTTGAAAGAACTTGGCAAAAAGAGAAAAGATCTGCGCTTTATTGAGTTTAGGGTTCGTAAATGGATACTTAGAAATCGCTTTTACCACGCATTCATGCATGCAATGGGAATCCACTAGTACCAGTCAAGGAACGACCGTCAGACTCAAAGAGATCATAAGACTTATTTGATCGGATCCAGCTAAAGGTTAATTCTCTTTAAGTGGTTCAATACATATATGTATACAAAAAGAATTTCATTTTACAAAGGAAATTGGTAAGATTTGAATGCTAACCAAGTTCATGAACTGTAAACCTCATTTTGAATCTTGTTAGTTGAGATTAAGATTGAGATTACATAGGTCTTATGATCATAAGGCTACTAAAAATCATAACCAAAGATTAGGATAGCTCAGTTGAAAACATTGATTGCTGTTCTGCTTTGAAGTGAGGAACTGATTGAGTTGATCAAGGTTTTTTTTGACTTATCACTTTGGATCTAATGAGACTTGATTTGGAAATTGAAACTCATCTGCTCATTTAGGATGTGTTTAATGAGTAGTAAATATACAAATCCTTCACAAGATTATTATTGAGCAAAACTAATCACTATATCCAATTTTAATTTACTCAAAATATACTTTTTGTTCTTTACTAAGAGGTTTTGGAAATCCTTATTGAAAAAACAAATGGTTCAATTGTTTGTATGTGGAAATCTTGGATTTTCATCTATCCTTAAATCAGGATGATAATATGCATGAGTAAGTTTTTTCTGAATATCACCCTTGATTAGAATTTAAACCTTTCAGCAAACCAATAACCAAAAACCGTTTTCATCAATTTATATAGAAAAAGTCTAAAGACATGTCTATTTATGATGATGATAAAGTGATAATGCCAATGTGTCCATCAAAAGATTACTGTATTTACACATTCAGATGCAAAGTCCACAGAAAAAAATAACAGATTTTGATCTATCTATGAAATTTAATTCCAAGTGAATTGATTATCATATGATCATCAAGAGTTTTTTCATGATGAAATGTTATGTCCATTAAATTAATGAATCAAATCGAAAGATTAACAAATAAAATAAAATAAAGTTCATTCAAGAAATTCTTGAAGATAATGCAGGAAAGAATAGGAAAAAACTTATATCTGACTTTTTTGATATTAAAGTCTTGGGTTTCAAGAAGAGAGATAAGTTACGGCTGATTTACTTAAATCTTGATTTCCCATTAATAATCGGAAATCTTCAGATTTGATAGCCGAACCACCACTGTTTTCCATAAATACAAAAGAGTCAGTTAAATCTGATAATGTATTCAAACTAAAAAAAACTATTGACTTACGAAGCATTCTCATTTTTCTTAATCTCAAACTAAACCAAGATGAAATCAAAGTAAACCAGTTAATCAGAATCCAAACCTTATTATTCTTTTGATGAGTATAAAAAAGAATCAAGAAAAAAAATACAAACCCAAGAAAATGCTTTAAAATTAGGAACATCAGTACGTAAATTATTAGCTAAAAGTTGTTGTAACCATCCAAACTTCATATCATGTTCAGAAGCACCACCTGGAGCCGGTTCATTAGTTTGAAGTGAAACTGTATAAGATGCTCCAGTTTCGGATAAGACGATTGGTAAATTATTAGGAGTAGAATATAACTAGAAAAGAACGTGATCAAGACAGATCAACGTTTTAGTAAGCTTTCCTTAATTTTATAAAGAAGAAAATTTAAGATAAAATCTTACGTCTGAGAATTGTTTGATCATATCAAGTGCCATGGTCGGACCAGGTAATACATTATTACGCTCGAATCCTGTTATGATGACCAAAACCACCCAAAAAAACGTTCAATTTACTGACACAGTGAAATTACCGTGAAGAAATGAGAGAGAGACTGACCTCCATAGTGGTAGAACGAAAGACCTACTCAGAACAAAGATAAATTCTTGTTAGTTTGAAATTAAAAAAGATAAAGAATTGGTACTTACCAAGCATATCAACGTATTGAGCACCTGGCCAGTACTGTGTGTAACCTCCTTTAACATCGTTCAAGCCGCCGAATAACGAGTTTGGAGCCCATAGCATGTCTAAGAATCCTCAAAGATGATCATCCATCAATATATGAAAACGCATGAAACAAAAAACCTTTATCTGGAGGGATGATTCAAAATGTGAGACTCACAAGTACTAGATGTGACCGACTTGATAGCTTCCCAAACCATTTTCCATTTCTCCAAAAATACTGAAAGGAAATAATTTCGTTCAACACGTCAGATTTATTTTATTGAAAATTTGTCTTAAAAAAAATGAAATCAATTGAACTTACATTCTGGTTGCATACCCCATTTATACCAATCACCATTCATCTATAAAAAAAATAAATCATTAGTTTCTTAATTGAAAATCCAAAAAAAAAGTTACTTTAAAAGAGAGAGAAAGATGAAAAAATATATATACCTCATGTGCAAATCTTAACCAAACAGTGATACCTTGCTGATTAATCCGTAACATACTTTGTGCAATACTGTTGGCCTATTTTTTTCAATCAGGTTCACCAAAAAGAAGGGAATGATGGAAGAATATCAAGTTTTAAAGAGGAAGATCATCTTGTCTCAATATTTGGTTGAAGGTATTTCGTGACAATGAGGTTTCTGACAACGTACCACTTCTTGTGTTACACTCTCCAATCCTAGATATGGCATTAAAGCAATCTGCCAAACTGGATTTCCTTTTAAGCCTTTTATGTATCCAAGATGCTGAGTTAGAGGCATAAGTTAGCTATCAGCTCATATATCAAAGCTCGAGCTCTTTACTTATATGTAACTCAATTGAACATGAACTCAAAAAAACGAGATCACATTGGCTTACCACATTGATGTCGTTAGCATTTGGTCCCGTTTTCTCGAGATTAATGTAATCTCCCATCTAACCCAGACGGACAGGATATCAACAAGGCGTAGGCTGAGCGGTATTAGTGAAATAGCGGCGAAATATTACTCACCATAGCCATCGGAGCTGGAAGTTTTGCATTGATTTGACTTGGTTCATTGGGAGCTATCGGTTCACCAAAGGCAGGTAGGAATCCAATAGCGATCCCATTTTTATGTAAATTATTTGAATTCAAACCAAGAGATGGATCTAGATTTCTTATTTCACGTTTGGCTTTAGGATAACTAAAGCTAACGTTTAAACATAAAGAAAAGATTGAGAAGATGGTGATGAATCGATTGGATCCTATCATATTTGTTTATTGTCTTGAATGACTTTCTTGATAATTGATTGGATGAGTAGAACACGTGAGTTGAGTGAAACAGATATCCCAAAGAAAAAAGTTGAAGAACCAAGGCTTTATAAAAACTATACGTGGCGTTCTGATTTGTGCTAGGTATGCTTCAGAATCATTTCTCAGCATCACCGCTGCCAGATATGGCCCCGGTGAGATATGACGACAAGCCAGTCTGAATGGGTATTTACTAAACGATACAGGTCACTTTGACGCCTTCGACCCCTTCCTCCTTCAAAACGTTTTCGATTTCTTTAATTCTTGAGATCTCGACTTTGGAATGGTTCGGAATGAAATTGCTGCGGGCGCCTCTGGAAGCCGCGGGCGTGGGGCTGACGAATGGCTGGCAATGGTTACATAGGTAACGTGTCTTGGGCTTTAAAGCTCAGCCATTTTGAAAAGTGAGTGACCAAGAGTAGACTGATGCATGAACTCAAAGGGATCTCTATGAAACTTTTGGTTTACGATGATTTCAAAGCGCCCTGGATGAAAATCTAGTGACCCGGTCGCTGCGAGGATAACCGAACGGACAAAATTGGAGCGAGCGTCGGACTCTACAAACGAAAACGAAGTTAAGCTTAACAAACGAATTTGTTGCATTCAGAGGTCGAAGAGCTTTCATGCATGTCTCAACTGATCGCGCGGCATGGGGCGCGGTGAACGGGTAAATCGTTTTCAAGCTCTGAGCATGCGGTGTATCATGGCACTCTTCATATCGTATCCCAATTCTATCCTTTGTGGTGGTGGTTTCATCACACGTCATATTTTTCATCGGCGGCGTATTTCCTTTGATGAGGAAATTTCAACTCGAAACTTGTAAGTGTGGCTTGCAAGCAAAAACGATGTTCATGGTTGGTACAAAGTAACAACATAGGGGAATCTGTGAAAGGTAAAGGGAACATCCGAGGCAAGAACTTTGGCGAGATAGGTAGAGAGCACTCTAGGAAGATGTGCAACAAAAATGTCAGTCTACTTATCTCCCCAACGAGTTTGTAAGGCAGTCAAGCCAGAAAAATCTTCTCTTTCATTTTAGTGTACACCATGTTGAGCTTGTTCCCACTTTTCATTTCTATCACCTAAAATCGTTAAAAAATCATAAAAACTTGTGCCACAAATTATCCATGATCAACCTCTTCTAGTATGCACCTTAGAGCATCCACAGCCGTGCCGTAAATCCGTATCGTACGGAGCGCCGCACAGATCATTTAGGCAAGTGTTTGAGGCATAAATTTCGAACAATGCACAGCCGTGGTGTCGTACAGTACGGCTTGTAGCATATTTTGTGAAGTGAGTTATGGGTTAGTTGATCATCGAGGGAGATATTCTGCAGGGAGTGCGTTCGCGGAAGTGGGAGTTATGGGAGAAGCGAGGTACAGATGGATTTAGGGAGCGAGCCAAAATAGAACATATTTGGCCTATTTTGGCTCGCACGGAGGGAATTCCCTTAGCTACGTGAAATTTCAGGGCATTGGCTGTGGATGATTTTGCCCTAAATTTCCGTACGACATGGTTTACGCCACACGGCTGTGGATGCTCTTATGACTGAAATCTATCCATATACAGATATTCAGTTCTCTTTTTGTTGTTTTGCTGGTCTTCTTTACATTCTTTGATTTCCCACTCAACACCCTGTTTGTCAAGCAGAGGGTTAACACGTGGAGTTTTGTTATCTCTCAATTCGATCAGGAAGAAGTAGGGTGACACTCCAGTGGAGTAGTCCAGCGCCGAGCTGTGGCCCAGCACTCCTATCAATCTTTTTCTCTGCAATCCAGGCACGGGTTCAACTAGAGTACCACACCGTCCTCTTGTCTACCCGAGCCAAACTGATTCCCAAAGGGTCTTTTTTGATGCCAAGAAGCACTTCAAGTCGAGTGCCTATTCCTGCCGTGACTCAGACTTGACTCCTGAGTCCTCACAGGTCGACAAATACATCTGCCAGCTGAGGCCAACAGGTATCAAGGCATGTTGTGCTCTTTCCGCCGCACCAATTCAGATGGGTTCCTGGTAGAAAACCTTTTCTGGTTGGGCAACTCAAAGGTTGAAGAATTCAAAACAAGTTTAACTTTCTTTGTGTGTCCACATACATACAAACCAAGTATGTATCTTGAACTAGTCCTTTCCAGCTCCGGAAGCCAATAGTACAAATGACATGTGGTCTCAACTTTGTCTTGCTACCCTGATTCCGGGAACACTTCACAAACTTAAAGATGTACCAGAAAATTCCGTCAGGCAGCTTTCTTGCTTACAAGCAGGCTTAAAGCTTCATTGACAACATTTCACATCTGCCAATGGCTCCAGAGTTTCTTAAAGATTCAGACTCAAGCTTTGTGTTCCATCCAATCACCCACCAGGTGTGAGGCAAGCAATTACTGACCTTCAGCCGTAACAGGTGTGGCTATATGATCAATCAAATTTTCAGTAGATAACTTGGCCCATCTGTTCTAAGGGTGCCCAGGATGGTGTTTTAGTTTTATGATATCCATTTATGCTTTCACCACACCCTACACAGTGATCATACCAGATCATACCTGACACAGCACAGCCTGGGAGCTCAGAATGCAACAAATAGGACTGCATAGCCCTTGAAATGTCTGCCAATTGTGTTCATATTTCCTTTCTTGAAAGCATTTGGAAATCTAATTATGCCGTAAGATCAGATCCTCAAAGCCAACTCCACAGAAGTCTGCAACCCACCTAGCCTGACACAAGTCCCACTACAACCAAGCAACACAAGAAGTTCACATTGATTCAAGTTCACACATGAGCTCTCCAAGATTTTCCTTCATGTTGAGATCTCTGTAAGAATTACAAAAACTCATATCCCTACCCCCCTTGAAACCTTGAAAAATGATATATGATCATGATTTGGGCAGTTTTGCAAGGGTTGGGATAGATGAACTGGCACATACTCCACATTTGAGCCACCTGAGATCACTGAACTGGAGGTGCACCCACCAAGTATGCTATGGCCACAAATCCATTCAGCCTCACTTTAATGCTCTCATTTCATACCTTTTCATTCCCCTCAACTCAAGTGCAAACCTTTACTTGATTGCAACATGGATAAGTAAAACTTACTAAAAAACTTGATAGAATATTCCACAAATTGTGGCACGGGTTTTGGGCAACATCCCAAGGCATAATGCCCCGGGTAATAAAATTCTTCAACATAATAAACAACCCCTATGGGGCGGTAGCGGAACAATAGCTCAGACTGACAAAAAATAAACAACAACAGTTTGACAAAAAAGAAATAATAACAATGAAAACTGATTTTCCTTTGCTCTTTTTTTTTTTGAAAAACAACCTTGATAATAAGGACCCCACTATTTATTGCCCGATTAGGAAATATCTGTCGCCCCTTTTTTTGGAAGCATTACCCGAGGTATCCGACACAACCCGATTTCATGAGCCTAAATTTGGCTCAGTCGGACATGCAGGGCGACTCCAGGGCTCAACTCACAAGCACATTCCCACCAGGGGCTCCACACATGACCTGATTTGCACCCCATGTGTCCCCAATAGGGTGAATAGAAGTTTCCTTTTGTGAAGAAACTTTTCAAAAGGGCTATCAATGACATCAATGCCCGGACCGGCCCTTGACACCATATCTCCCTGCTGCCCAAAGGGAGAGAGAACGCAAGAGACACAAACTCCCTTCAAGACTTCTTGGCCGTCCAACCCCTTTTCCCCCTTGTCCACTTTCACCAAGTATCATCCTTTCCTAACATCTTGACACAATCTTCCACAAACACCCCACAACTTCCCCAAAACAAACAACACGGCTAGCTAACTCGGCTTACACGCCCTGCTAGTACACAGATACAGTCTTCTTTCATATTCGTTCATACTTCATAGTCAATATCAAACCTTGAGCTTACGGTTCACAGATCAACAACACTACAGCACGTAATACATACTGCATACACACCATGTCAAACCCACATCATCCAGCCTTAACACCAATGGAAGTTACCCCAGACCCTCATCCCCACCTCCCAAACAACAATATTACCCATCCTAATACCCATAATCACGCTTACCCTCCTCCCCACGGCTTCGACCAAACCGGCCAAGGTCATAATCGATATCTACCCCCTCTTTCCTACTGGTATCCACCGTACCCAGCACCTTTTTTCTTCGCAAACGGAAGTCAAGGACCCATCAACCCCTCGGTTCCATTTGGTTATCATCAACCTCATCCATCTGGGATGAATCGGCCGCCGCAAGCGGCGTATCATCAAGCACCCTTGTTTCCCGACCCGATGAATCCTTACATAAACCAACCACACCAACCTGTTTTGAACCATCAAACTATGAGTGATTTACCCTCTACGGCCTCTTTTTCAACACTTGCAATCTCACCTGCCACCACCTCATTGTCTACTTCACCTGCCACCACCGAAAGCTCTACTTCGACCACTGTCCACATCCAAACATCTGCGATGACTCCATCTCAAACATCACCTCCCAAAAACCTTATCGCAACGCCTGTTCTTAACGTCACAACCCCGGTAATTAATATCCCAGCTGTTATTGATCTTATCAACGTAGTAGAGGCCATTGAGGAAGAGGTTCAAGTTCCTCACGAACGAGACGCGGACTGGCCCCAACTAGGTATGCCCAAATAGCCACCAACCAT